GCCCCTCCAGGAACAACTTCTTGAGCCAGAGCCAGCCTTCTGCAACCGAACCTACCAGGCATGCAGCACCTCCATCTACCACCTCATCTGCGCAACGTTTTCCTTGCCTCTACTGTCGACGGATCTTCGACACCTACCAAGCTCTGGGCGGCCATCAGAACGCTCACAAGCGCGAGCGAGGTGCTGGTCGCGGAAACTTTCCGGCAGCCAACCAGCAGCAATTCCACCCACTTCCTCAGTTTCCACCGACCAGCAGCAATACCAACCACTTCCTCAGTTGCCCGCTGCTGCCCGGAACTATCCTGCCGCCGACCAGCAGCAATACCACCCACTTTCTCAGCTCCCCGCTGCTCACGGAAACTGTCCGGCCGCCAACCAGCAACAATATCACCCACTTCCTCAGTTCCACGCTGCTTCCCGAAACCATCCGGCCTGCCGACCAGCAGCAATACCACCCACTTCCTCAGTTCCCCACTGATCAACAGCAACAACAGATATCATCCATATTTATTCCCCACTTCCCGAGCGTGGACCACCCGGCAGGTGCAGCAGTGTCTGTTGAGAGGTGGTTGGAACCCTTCCAGCCACCACCGCAGCAGCAGGAGCACCCTCCTTCCAGCTCGGTCCCTCGGAGCTTTCTGGGCGTTTCAACTCTCGATGCTCTCTCTACAACTACTGATGTGGATGATTCTGCCAATATTGACCTCACCCTCCGCCTGTGAAGCGCTTTAAACTGAATAGTGATGAACATGAATATGGATCACCATGAGATCCATGTCTGTAAGTAAGAAACACTGTTCGTGTTGATATTTGGACTGGGGAGAATATCTTTTGTGTTTGATTAATATCTCTATAATGTTTTATGGGTAGGAGTATACTCCAAAAAAAAAAATAAAAAAAGCATATATATATATGGATCTATATGGGTAAAACGAAGTATATATTTCTGTATTTCGAACATTAATTAGATATTAATTTCCTCGTACACTTAATTTGTAATTATTATTATTATTATTATTATTATTATTATTTTGAACATTAATGATAGAACTCAAAATTTACACTTCTAAATTTAGTATGAGAAACTCTTTACAAAAACAATATAATCATTAAATCACAAAGATATTTTTATTATTATCATTATTTTTGTTTTTTTGAACAAGGTTACAATTATGGGAGAGGGAGGAATCGAATCTCAATTTTCGGGCTGGGATGCACCTTATAAGTCGACCTATAACCGTTAGGCCGTGAGGTCCAAGTGCATTATTATCATTATCTTTTTGAAAAGCACAGGAAAAGAAAAATATATATGGACCTTAATTTGCCCCACCTACTAAAACAAGTAAATAAAACCTCTACTTAAGGTAAGGGGACAGACAGAGCTATAACCTATTTATAACAGTTGCCACTATATACTTTCATTGAAACGACAAATGTACACATTAATTTGTACTTCCATTAAGAAAATAATATACTGTAATTAAGAGATATAATTAATAATCAAGGCTTCAATCCTCTTTTCCCCTAGTCAAATTGGTTTGGGTTCTACATTTTTGTGTATAAAAAGCGGCTTCGGCTGTAGAGGGGAAGGGGAAGAAAGTTGACAAAGAGAGCTCCGTGAGAAAAAAATAGAAGCACGGAGAGAGTGAAAGGCAAAAGCTTTGTAATTTGACATTCATCCGTTTCTAGGTACTCTCTCTTTGATTTTGATCAATTTATTTTAGCTCGTGTGGAAGTGGACTGGGATTCTGGATTTTCCTCGCAGAAATCACACTGAAACAAGATTTCCCCT